CACTGTGAGGTGTGAGGCGCAGGTGGAGAAGGCCTTGTGGCGCCCCTCAGTGGAGCGCATCTTCAGGATGTTGAAGAGGATACAGATGTAGGAGATGACTATGACAAACACTGTAGACCCACTGATGGAGCCAGCAATAAATGAGGGAACAACTGCAGGGATACTGACATCAGAACAGGAGAGTTTAACTAAAGGAGCAAAATCACAGAAAAAATGATTGACTCGATTTGGTCCACAGAAGACTAAAGAAAAGACACAAAAAGCAAAAGAGCAAGCATTGACAAAACCACCTATGTAAGTTACTAGAAGCAATTGGACACAGACTTGTGTGGACATTTTGGTGGAATAAAGCAGTGGGCTGCAGATTGCCACAAAGCGATCATATGCCATAACGGCCAGAAGGAAGCACTCAGCTGCCCCAAAGAAAGCAACAAAACCAAATTGGATGCCACATCCAAAATAGGAGATGGTATTTCTTTCCACCAGGAAGTTTACAAGCATATTGGGTGTGACGGAAGATGATAAGCCCATGTCAGCAAAAGCCAAATGGCTCAGGAAGAAATACATAGGATGATGGAGCTGAGAAGAGATTCTGATAAGAATGATTGTGCTGATATTGCCGAATACGGTCACCAGGTAGATACACAGGATGATTATGAAGAGAATGACTTGAAGGATTGGATCATCAGTAAAGCCCAATAAAATGAACTCTGTCACTTCAGTATAGTTCCCATCCCCCAGGGCATCCATAACACAACGTAGCTGCCACCGAAATGAACCTGTGATGAAACATTACATTAAAGGCGTTGTAACTTTGATGGTTTCATTTTCATTAATATACATAGAGGTTATTAAAACAAATAAATTGTTCAAGCTAAGTTTGGACTTTACTTCAGTGTCCAGAGTTTATATACATATGTGTAAAGAGTCTTCTATATTTTAAAAGTTTTTTTTGAAGAAACACTAGAAAACCTACTTCAAATAATGTATATGTTTTTCCCTTTGTATTATATATCTATAACATGTACTAAAATTGGCTTTAAAGCTAAAGATGAAAAAACATAAACATTATGGGAATAACATAAACGAATGGTATGTATAACAAAAAAGATAACAGCATATAAATATATGATTATGTAATGGAGATTTGAGTAATAACTAACAGCTATAGTATACTTACTAAATGATATGGTTACAGGATGAAGAATTTTATATTTAGAGTTCTATTTTAATTTCCATGAAACTATATTAAGTACTTTACTTATACATGAAAAAACTGACTTTGACAATGTTAGGTAATTTATCTAAATTTACACAGAAGTGGTGGAATCAAGATATGAATCCCAGGCAGTTTTAATTCAATCCATTCCTTGAGTAATTATGTTATAAATGAAATTAAATAATACAATGAAGTCTCTTGAAATGGGTGGATAATAAATAACTCTTTCTACTTTCTGACAGCTGTGGATGAAAGAGGTGTCTAGTTAACAAGTTTACAATTTCTATCAGTAAAACAAGACCATGTTTTAAAAGGAGAAATACAATTTTCCTAATAGGATAAAGATGAAATAGAAAGGAATTTCAAATTAGGGTTATGAATGAAGTCACCTATTGTAAATTCATTATAGACATTTAATATTTGCAATTAAAATATTGTTTTATCAAGTAGTTTGACATATCAATATAATACATATCAATATGATTACTATGCAAAATGTTATATGTTTAATATTTAGGACATAATTGAAGTACATTTACTTAAACAAATCAAATCATTTCCTAATGTAACAACATCTTCTAATTTGAGGACTACAGACTGAAATAATATTACTTTCAACATTATACACAA